GACCCCCTGATGGGCTGGCTGAGTGAGGGTGGGCGGGATGCTGGAGGCTAGGAGCCAATGACAATGCAGCTTCCCCAGCTGGGCCTTCCAGTGTGAAGGGATGCCTGCACTTCTGTGGGTCACAGGTTCAGAGCCAGGGCCCTGGCTGAGCTCAACCCCTTTCCTCCCTCTTCCTCTCGCCCCCACCGTGGTCCTCGCAGCCTCCACTACTTTTCTCCCATTGACCCCAGGCCAGTGTCGTGGGCTCAGTGGTCAAAGGGAAGGTCCTCCGAGAGCGCAGCCCGGTGAGAGCTCGGTTAGTGGACGGGGTAGGTGATGGTGCTCAGTGTTCAATTCAAGACACTGTGGGCCTCGCCCCACATCCCTCCTCTTTCTGGTGAGATGGGGCGTCTGAGACCCCAGGCAGCACAGGTGTTGGGAGGAGGCAATGCTGTCCCTGGAGGCCTTGTCACCGGACTCCGCAGAGGACCCTGCACCCCAGTAAACGTCCTGTCCCGGGTCCCCGCTACTAAGTCTCACCGGGTTCTGTCCCCACAGGTGGAGGAGTTCGAACAGGACGTTCCCCAGGACTTGGGGCCACTGCAGTTCGTGAAGTTGCGCAAACACCACTCCCTGGTGGACGACGCCTGGTTCTGCGACCGCATCACCGTGCAGGGCCCAGGAGCCTTAGAGGAGGCCGCCTTCCCCTGCTACCGCTGGGTGCAGGGCCAGGGCGTGCTGACCCTGCCCGAAGGCACCGGTGAGGGGCCGCCTCGGGGAAGTGGGAGCAGGACACAGGGGGTAATGGGGGGCGAAGGGGTGGCGGGATGGGTAGCACAGAGGAAAGTCAGAGGGACTTGAAAAAATGCATGCTCAGCAAGTTAAGAGCAACCAAGACAGGAAACTAGGGGAACATTACACACAGCATTAAAAGGGCTGGAAGTGGGACTGGACAGGGAAATGTGTGATGTCGATCCCACCTCCCAAGGCGTGCCCTGGGAACGGGAGGTGCAGCCACGCTGGGAAACAGAAGCGCCAAAGTAAAGTGGGAAGGAATCTCCAGTGACTGGGAACAAGTGAGGACAAGGACAGGCTAGCACATGGGACCCCTGAGAGGAGGCAGGGAAGGGAAGCAATAAATGATATGACCATGAAGAGCTGGCTTGGCTGTGATAACATGGAAGACAACTGGTAGGGCAGGGAGCACTCTGACTGGGGTGGGGATGAGTGAGCAGGAGCTATAGGGGATTTGTTGCTGTGGGACACATGGAGGAGAGATATGACTGGAGAGAAATTTAGGACAATGGCATGTAAGAATGGAGACTAATCAGCCATAAGAAAGATGAGATATTGCTGTTTGAGACAACATGGATGGATCTTGAGAGTATGATGTTAAATGAAATGTCAAAGGAAAAGAATCAGAAGTGTATTCTTACGTGTATATATAGGATATAAAACAAAAAGCAACAAATGAACAAACAAAACGAACAAAAAACACAAACCCATAGGTACAGACAGCAAAGTGGTGGTTACCAGAGGAAAGACAAAGAGGGTAAAGGGGTAAATACAAGGTAACAGAAGAAGACTAGACTTTGGGTGGTGAGCACACTCAGTGTATACAAATGTCGTATTGTAAGATTGTACACCTGAATTTTATATGATGTTATAAATTTAATAAAAAATGGAAACATGAAATAGGTGTCTTTGAGGGATAATATAGATAGAAGTGAGAAAAGGACAAGTCAGGTTAACAAATATAAACCATGTGATGGTGAGGCTAGGTGAGATGGAGTGAGGGAAAGGTAGCAACATGGAACTATTTGTTCCCTAACACAGATGACATGGGATGGTTGAAGGGAGCACACATAGAATTTTTGTCCCAGGGATCAGGTGTGGGTAGGGAAGGAAAGAGCAGAGTGCATATATAAAATGAATAAGAAATATTTCATTCAGAGGACAGGTGAAGGTGTAAAGTGGAAGGTGGAAGGTGTAAAGAGGAAGGCCAGTATTGATGACTTAAGAAAGGCAATACACAATATGGGATATTGTGGACATGTCAGGTGATTAAAAAGAAAATTCATAATCATTTATAGGCACAAGTAGTGGAATTTGATTCAAGAAACAAGAAAGGGAGGAAATAATGGAATGTTGATTAAGGACAAATATGGGGTTGAAAGAGGTGACATCACAAATAGGTTTGGGCCAAGATACAGTAAGTGACTGTGGGAATGCATCAGGTGAGGTAGAGCCAGAGAAAAAGGCAAGAGTCTGATGCAATACAGTCAAGAATGAGAGATTAGATCAAGTCAGGGATAGCATGAGTTGGACAAACAATGTGATCAAATGTTCTCCCAGCCCGCCTGGCAGGAGAGAGTACCTTGGACGAGTTCCAGAAGCATCGAGAGAGAGAACTGAAGGAAAGACAGCTGATCTACCGGTAATCACCCATCCATAGCCCTCCTGAATTTCCCACCTCTTCTCTGATCTTGTCAACATCACTAACCCCCTAATTCCTCCCTGAACTCTTTTCCCATCTGCTAGTTGGGCCACTTGGAAGGAAGGACTACCCCTGACAATAGCTGCGGACTCTGTGAAGGATCTGCCCCAGGATATGAAATTTCATGTTGAGAAGTCATTGGACAATGAACACAGAGAGAAGACAGGGTGAGAAAAGATCCCAATGGAGTGGGTAGTGGTGGATCCCGTAACAAGCATGATTTGGTGAGTTGACAGTGCCGCCCTTCACCTGTCCTAGGGCTCTGGAGATGGTCCTCAAACGTGTTTATAACCTCCTGAACTCCTGGGACAGCCTAGAGGCTTTTGATCAGATCTTCTGGGGCCCCAAGAGCACCCTTTCTGGTCAGTATTCCCATTGGCCCCTGTAAGTCCTTAATAGCCTGTTTTGATGGCCCAAACTTCACTCTCCATAGTCTCTCATAAGTAGTTCCCAGAGGAGAAGATTGTATGCCTGGTCATTTCTCAGAGCAACAAGAAAAGACAGGGGCTGGATACAGGGTGAACACATGCTGTATAAAGAGGGACATCAGGTTGTGGTGAATATCCTCCCCTTACCCTCCACTCCAACCCCACAGAGAAGGTTCACCAGCGCTGGCAGGATGATGACCTTTTTGGCTACCAGTTCCTCATTGGCGCCAACCCCATGCTGTTGAGACGCTCCACCTCTCTGCCCTACCGGCTGGTGCTGCCCTTGGGGATGGAGGAGCTTCGGGCCCAGCTGGAGAAAGAACTCCAGGTACAGTGTCCAGCCCTCTGTTGTCTTCTTGTCTGTGTGGGGAAGGGAAGCAGTGAAAGGGAGGGACCAAAAGTGAGTCGGAGAAGGGAGTCTGTGTTAGTTTCCCCGCTGTCCCTGGGTGCAGAGTCCTTTGCAGGGAAAACCTAGAGTACGCAGGGGAAACTATAAGACGGTGGGTGCCAGGTAAAGATAGCAGGAAATTAGGATATGATGAGGAAAGAGGCCTGGAAACATTGACGGGGAAAACTTAGCCCCCTCGTGCTGCAAAGGAATTTGTCAAGTATGGTCTTAAAACCACCACTGCCACAGGGAGTTAACATGTCCCTTGGGAAGATTCCTCTCATTTTGCCTCTTTCCTCACTGTGAACTGAGATTACTTCGACTAATTGTTCTGGATGCCTCCTTCCTTTCTGCCACCAGGACTCTGGTACTGATGTAGGATAATTGCAAGAAACTAGACTGAAATTTCTTTACATTTCTTTGCCTTGTCCCTCTGGGCATAGACTTTGAACTCTGACCCTGGATATGTTCCCCCTTTCTCCAGAAGGGTTCCCTGTTTGAGGCTGACTTTATCCTGCTGGATGGAATTCCAGCCAACATAATCCAAGGAGAGCAGCAGTACCTGGCTGCCCCCCTCGTCATGCTGAAGATGGAACCCAGTGGGAAGCTGCTGCCCATGGCCATCCAGGTGAGGTGTTTTGGAAATCCTCTTCCCAGCACTGCTCTGTGTGCACCCCAACCTCTACCCAGGGACACAGACAGCAGGCTCTTGTCCTTCACCCCCGCCTCGCTCACTGAGACCTGTCCAGGTCTCCAATCTCTTTTCTACCTTACAGCCTGCTCACTACTCGCCTGATATTGCCTTTTTGAGAGTCAGAATGGTCTCTATTGGTACTCACCCTAAGGCTCCTCAATCTCTTTCTGACCTTTGAATCCGTGAAATACCCCTTCTTTCTTAGACATCTTTTCTCCCTTTTTTTTCTTGTTTCCTTTTCAAAATTTTATTTTTGACACTATTCCAGATGTCCCCATGAACCCTCCCTTTGCTCACCTCCACCCAGTTCTCACTCCCCTCTCACTGGCCTTCAGCACGCTGTTATCTGTGTCTATGAGTTATGCATCTATGGTCTCTGGCTAATCCCTTTACCTTCTTTCATTCAGCCCCCCACTCCTCCCCTACCCTCTGACAGTTGTCAGTCTGTTCCATGTATCCATGCCTCTGTTTCTATTTTGTTCATCACTTTATATTGTTCATTATATTCCATATATAAGTGAGAGCATATGGTATTTGTCTTTCTTTGACTGACTTACGTATTTCACTTAACATAATAATGTTCAGGTCCAGCCATGATGCCACAAAAGAGATTTCCTTCTATTTATACCTTTTTTAGAT